AAACTTTTACCAGAAAAGACTGCGGGGTCAGAGGGCAGCCAAGACCTTGTAGCTCCTGCTGTGGTCTCCTCTGCTGAGGAGCCCAAGGCAAGCGTTGAGTAAAGAGACAAAGCCAAGCTACTAATAGTGCTGACCAGGCAGAAAAGCTCTCCTTTTTCAGATGGTTTTCTTTAGGAACTCTCTTGAAAAAGAAACTGTAGCACTTCCTGAAAAATGTATGTTTTCTCTCTCAATACTCCACAGAGATCATCACCATGTAAATGACTGCAATCTGTATCATTCTTTTTTCGTGGTGAAAATCAAGAATGTTGCCTTGATTATTTTGGATGAGGACAGAAAAAAGGAATCTGAGGGCCCTCTTCAATCTCAAAATACAATGCTATTCTTTTTGACATTTTTATGAACTTCCTAGAATCTACTGACGGCAATAGATTTGGCCGATATTCCATGAACATTTTTATTTCATTCTTGACTGATGTTTTAGTGGTTGTAGGTTTTGTTGGTGAATTTATAAGAATTTGGTATTATACAGCTACAGTTGATGAAAGCATTAGTCAAACAGGCCCCACAGAAGCTGTGAACAACAGATGAAGTGTCTGCACAAAAATATGACACAGGATAAAAAGTATCAAAATAACCAAAAAAAAATCTCCAAAACAACACAGAGAAAAGGACATAACACAGATATTTATTGAACATAAAGTGACTTAATGGTCTGCAATAGGGATGGAATGTACATGCCTGAAGTGTACTCTGCTACCTTTTGATCACTGTGTAAGAAGAGCTGTCAGGAACTACACGCTCTGTATTGGGATAACATCGTACTAGTGCTCTGTCTACACACATCTCCCACAAGCATCTTGTGTGTCACATCAGGAGCATGTCAGGGCCACACCTTGTAGACAGTAGCTAAACAGTAATACTAAATTAGTAGCATGGGCTGGAGCCACTTTGCTGTGAGGACAGGCTGAGAGAGGTGGGGGGGTTCAGCCTGGAGAAGAGAAGGCTCCGGGGAGACCTTAGAGCCCCTTCCAGTCCCTAAAGGAGCTCCAGGAGAGATGGGGAGGGACTCTGGATCAGGGAGGGGAGCCCTAGGAGGAGGGGGAAGGGTTTAAACTGAAAGAGGGGGGATTTAGATGATAGGAAGCAATTCTTTGCTGTGAGGTTGGTGAGACCCTGGAACGGGGTGCCCAGAGACATGGTGGAGGCCCCATCCCTGGAGACATTCAAGATCAGGCTGGATGAGGCTCTGAGCAACCTGGTCTAGTTAAAGATGTCCCTGCTTATGTAGGGGGGTTGGACTAGATGGCCTTTAAAGGGCCCTTCCAATCCAAAACGTTCTATGATTCTAAATTAGCAGTAATTTCTCAACAACATTGACAATAAATTCTTTTGTTCTTTAAGCTGGCCAAAAAGATAATCAGAGTAGCCAACCAAAAACCTCCCTATATAATAAGATCAGTGTCTTTCTGTCCATCACAAAAAGTGGCTCCTAGGAAGAAGCTTCATAAAGATGTTCAGTTGAGACTCCACCAGCACTAACCCATATGGAAGTCCTGCTGTGAGGAATGCACACGAGGGTTTGCCTGGGTACACACACCACAAATTCCCCAACTTCAGACAGTAACTGAAACTGATGAAACACTGATGATTTAAAACTAATTAAGACACCAAAGGAAAAAGCTTACCTTAGTACTTCAACCCTACGTATTAATAACCAGCACTTATAATTTAAAAGCTTTATTAGGTCTTCAAAGTCAATGTTCTTGCTGTACCTCCCACAGTTCCCTCAAACATTTGCTGATTGGGAAGAATAATTTCATTCATAACAATAAACTGGGACCAACAATAAAAGTACAACATAGTGCACACCTACAAGGATGCATCCATACATTAGCAGCATGGGAACATATTATTAATATTACAAAATGCATTCCTGAAATTGCAAGGATTCAAAAAAAAATTTTATTTCAAGTAAGTTTTTAAAGAGCATGATTTGTCTAACATGTTATTAGGACCTCCTCAAATGAAAGGAGAAAAATGGATTAATAACAAGGAGCATACTGATTGAAACTGATTGAAATCTAATTACTATTATCACAGCTAAATGGTATTTTTTGCATGCAAGCTGAAGCTCTGTGTTTTTTGATACACAGTCCTCTAACATATTGTCACTCATTTCTCTGCTCTTAGAGCCATTTTCAGTTGAATTGAAAATAAGTGCCTCAAGTAACTATACAGTATAAAATGCTTTGTTAGCAGCCAATTCTTTAACAAGAGAAACGAATAAATTAATCATTCCTGAACAGTGTTTTCAGCTGAAGAATATTATCCACCTAAAACCCCTTTAGAAATAATGTATACCTGGATTATTATCAGCCCTACTCAGATGATTAATTTTTTCCCCCAAGTTACACAGCCATAAAACTCCTAACACAGAATTTCTATTCCCTGAAGTAATGATACTTTGTAAAAACACTGAATTCTCTGAATCAGGAAGAAGTACAGAACTCAAAGGACATTGAAGACAGTCAAGAAACATAAGAAAAATATCAGGAGCTGCCCCAGGTTTATGGACCCTCAATGCAGTACTCAAAAACTGTCATAGAATCCTAGACTTGTCGAGGTTGGAGAGGACTATGAGATCATCTAGTCCAACCATCAACCTAACTCTGATCAAAACCATCACTAAACCATGGCCCTCCAGGGATGATGCCTCAACCCCTTCCCTGGGCAGCCCATTCCAAAGCTTAATAACCCTTTCAGCAACTCAAAGGACATTGAAGACAGTCAAGAAACATAAGAAAAATATCAGGAGCTGCCCCAGGTTTATGGACCCTCAATGCAGTACTCAAAAACTGTCATAGAATCCTAGTCTTGTCGAGGTTGGAGAGGACTATGAGATCATCTAGTCCAACCATCAACCTAACTCTGATCAAAACCATCACTAAACCATGGCCCTCCAGGGATGATGCCTCAACCCCTTCCCTGGGCAGCCCATTCCAAAGCTTAATAACCCTTTCAGCATAAAAATTGTTCCTAATATTCAACCTGAACCTCCCCTGGGGAGCTTAATAACCCTTTCAGCGTAAAAATTGTTCCTAATAATCAACCTGAACCTCCCCTGGGGCGACTTGACTGCTGCCCTGAGTCACGGAGTCACCAATACTATGTGTAGCCCCCATCTTTTGCTACCCTTTTACAGAAACAGGGACCTTCCAGAAAGCAGGGAAAGAACTGGGCATCATAAAATGACAAGGGCTGTGATAGCAGGAAATGTAAATGATGGGATGTAAATGAAGCTTCAGCTTCCTACTCAGCTACAGCCCATAGCTACAGAGTCATATTAGGCCAACTGCAGTCTCATTTTTTTTTGTCTGCAGAATATGATGGTACTAATCCATTTAATTTTTCATTTCAAATCCATCTCTTTGCCACAAAATCTAATGAGCACATCAAGTAAAAGAATTCATCTCCACAATGCAGTGATGAAAAATCAGTTTTCTTTCCCTAACAATGAAAACTTTCATCTTAAGTCAAGCGATCACGACATTGAAAGTATTTATGAACAACAACAACAAAGTATATAGACATCGGTAAGGGATGCCCAGTGAATTTATTTTTCCCCTGCTCCAACCCTGCATGAAGGTACAAATACCTGTGTTGACTTCCTAGCTAAAATAAGGACTTTGACACCACACCTCCAATTTTTTGGCCACTTTTGCACCTTCTTGTTGTCGGTCTTTCAGGTGACAACACAGATACGCAGCAGTTCCTATTGCAGACCTTTTACATCCCAGTTTGAGAAACTCTGCCCTACTCTGCAGTTGAACAGACAGATTCAAATGACTCTTTCCTTCGATGGATAAGTCATGTGCAAAAAGACCATTTTTTCTTACGTAATTTATTATTTAGAGTTGGCAGGGAAGTTCACATGAACTGAGCTGAGTGGCAAAGCTCCCGTCTGGGCTCTCTCTAGTCACTATATATAAATCCTCACCCCAGTCAGCTGAGAGAATTTCTAATCTCAGACCGGAGCTTTTCTAAAAAGAGCGACAGAAATTATGCTGCAAATACTGCATAATAGGATGATGCTCCAAATCCTCCTTCTGTGGAAGCGCGTGACTGTTGGAATGACAGATATTCAATCCCCAAATACCGGAGCCAATAAAATCATCCTCACAAATGTTTGCGCCCAGCAAAAGACCGAAACAGCGTCAGGAACAAAGCTGAATCAATTAGCCTTTCAAAAGGCAAATGAAGACTCTGAGATCCAACATCAGTCTCAAGGCCTGGACCTTTACCAGGCAGTAAACGCTTATGGCAATGAAATAAAACATAAAGAGAAGAAAATTTAAGATTGCCGTCCCTCTAGAGACATCAGAAACAATATTTTTACTGAACAGCAACGACGCTCAGTCCATCTTGCTGGGAGAAAGGACAAATGGCCTTTTTTGCCTTCCCTTGTGTACTAGTGCATTAAGTCTGAGAAGGTCATTAATATTACTTAGTGTCTTCTCAAAACTGAAGATTTTAATCAGAGTTTACATTTCTGTCAGCCATTGTGTAGTCTGGTTTTTGCAGCGCCTACTATAAAAGGTCACAATACTGCTATTTTGGGGGGAGGCTAACAAATAAAGACATTTATCTAGTGTCAGGTCATTTTGCTGACCAGGTAGGCCCTGTATAATTTTTTTTAGAGCTTTGCTTATCAATTACCATTAATCTTGACTTGTGTTGCTATGGATTTTCCCAAGCGAAGGTTATAAATGTGTAGCAGAGTCTGATGGAGATTAATGTGCAGAGTAAAACAAGGGGACAAAAATGCCTTCAGAAAGGTATGACCTCAGACACAATCTGTCACCGTGCTTTATCTGCTCCTGGGATAAAAATAAATTAAGAAACATCTCTAACCAATGGCTTCTTTGATAAAATCAAATAATAATCACTAGCTAAACAGAACATGGGATCGATGTTACAGTAAAATGTGTTGCACTTACATGTTGTGCAGAACACCTGGGAGAACATCAGCCCCTTTGCTTTCTGCATCGATTAATAATCAGGATTTCTCGCAATAAGGAAATTCATTTCTGGGAAGACAAAAAAAAAGAAACAAAACACGAGGTTAAATGATTGGCAGTTTTTTCAGTAGTCACGCTGTGGTAATATACGAAAACATAAAATCTCAGCTGGGCAATTTACAGGAACATGCTACAATTTCATTAAAAAACCTGCATAATTAAATCTGTATTTGTGAGGGTGAACATGCTATTAACATTTTATGAGAGTCAAGAATTTATTTCATGCATAAGTAAAAAGTTACTTGAGCTGCGGGGAGTTTCTTTAGTATTTCTGTTTTATTTTGTTACGCCAGGAACAAAGGTTTTGCTTTCCAGGAAGCATTCATTCCCAGTTTCAACCACAAAGACCTGTCACAAATACTATAAACAAAGGGGGATCTTGGCCAAACCCCCTTGTTTTTCTTATGAAAAAAAATATCACTTTTTCCTTGAATATTAATGGTAGAAGGATCTGAAGGAAATTCTGTAGATTATATCCCAGAATACCTCCCTCTTTCCCTTTTCAATGTGTGTTTCTGAGAATACATGAAGAAAAGAAACAGGTAGGTTGGAAAACAGACTCTTGCAGTGAAATCAATTTAACAGTGGAGGAGATTCCCAAGAAAATGAAGAATGTCTATAGGTAGGTACAGTACAACTTGTGAGATCCAGCTTATTCCTACTGTTCTGACAGAAGTTTACAAAAGTTTAAAATTTCCTCAAGAAGAAAAGGAGCTTATTCCTACTGTTCTGACAGAAGTTTAAAAAGTTTAAAATTTCCTCAAAAAGAAAACAAGACTGATTTTAAACATTTTTGCCTCTTGCACCTGTAAGCAACTATCTTCTAGTTAATGTGGTCAGTAAGTTCTATTTCTTGTTTACCCTAAACATTTTCAGTCAGTTTTGTGGAATGTTCCTTGTTGTCAGCAGGGAATTTCAAACATTTTTGAAAAGTGACCCTACTCCTGCAGATTCCTGAATTATGATTTTGAACGTGGTGACAAAAGCCTTGGGCTTTTTACTCACTCTTTGTGCCCCCTGTGAACCTGTCCTCAGCCACCCTACAGGTGAGGACGCTACAGGAAAAAAAACTACTGCTGGGGGGTGCTGAGGGGAAAAAACAAATGACTTAGAAGCTTTTAGTAATTTTAAACCTATGAAAACTGAGAGAAAATACTACTGAGAGCGAGCTGCAGTGAGAGAATCTGTTGGGTTGTCTAATAACTCCACTTAGTATCTAAAGCCTCATCAAATAGGAAGGAACAGGTGATGGCATGCAGGTGCTCATAGAATGAGTGCCAGCAGCGTGATACAGCTCCCCGGTTTTGTCAGCCCTTCATGCAACAGTGATTCTGACATTTTGCATTTATCTAGCTCTAAAGAAAGGCAGGTTGGCTCTAAACACACCTGGCCAAGTTAGGAGTGGCTTGCAGTGTTGGAAATACAGGTACAGAAATGCCACAGCACAACTTCAACGATTAGAAGAATCTCAAAAGAATCATCTTGTTCCGGAAATATTCAGGCAAACATCAGTGATCTGGACTCTCAACAAATCTCACCCTTCAATAATTTTGGAGTTAAGCGATTGAGAACAAATGTTAAATGCTCAACAAGGTACAAAATACAGAGTTACATCTACAGACTGGTAACAGGGTGTGTAAATTTTTAGTCATTGACAGTTCTGTCCTGCCAGCTACCTGGAGAACCATTTGCTCCTCTCACAAGGTGCTCAGCAACTCATCTTACTTAGCCAATTAAAAGGGGCTAATTTGGAATCAGTTCCTTGACAATTCTGCACTGAGGGCTAGGAATAAGTGCGATGGCAAAGCACAAATTTAGAAGCAAAGGAATATAGTTGAGTAGCAAATTATAAAACCAATGTGCTGTGGTGGACCTCTTTAATGTATCTCCTAGGTGAAAAGCAAGTAAGGCTGACCAGGCTGTGTTGGCAGAAAACCATCAGAGCCCTTGATGAAGACCCTCCTTCCACAATCTGCCAAAGCAAATTGCCTTCCCTTCACTACCTTAGTCCTATAGAAATAAGCTTCCCTCTAAATGGGTGGAAAAAAGCTAGGTGGTGAGAGAGTAGGTAACACTTTTAGTACATAAGGTCAGGAGAGGAGAAGAGAGGAGAGGAGAAAAAGAGAGAAATACTGTTTAATTCTTCTGTTAATTAATTCTGCTCTCAATAACCCCTTGCCTGGTTTGATGACTTCCAGTTGTCCATAAGTCATGTATGGGTTCACAGGGAGTAAAGAAAAGCATCACATGAAACACAGTGAAATAATCTTTAAATTTCTAAGCTTGATAACCGTAGCCTTTCCCTCACCAATCTATGTCTCCTATCAAAAAAATTCCAACTCATTCATATACAGCTCACCTCCCCTGAGTGACACGGACATGTCTCCACAGGATGAGGCAAAAGATAACTTATTCTTGTCTAAGAATGTATCACAGAATCACAGAATCACAGAATCTTCTAGGTTGGAAGGGACCTTAAAGATCATCTTGTCCAACCGTCAACCTAACTGACAAAAATAAAAAATTTTTCCTAATATCCAGCCTGAACCTCCCCTGGGGCAACTTGAGGCCATTTCCTCTTGTCCTGTCGCCTGTGACTTGAGAAAAGAGACCGACCCCCACCTCTCTACACCCTCCTTTCAGGGAGTTGGAGAGAGCAATAAGGTCTCCCCTCAGCCTCCTCTTCTCCAGGCTGAATAACCCCAGCTCCCTCAGCCTCTCCTCATAAGACTTATTCTCCAGACCCCTCACCATCTTTGTCGCCCTTCTCTGGACCCGCTCCAGCCCCTCAATGTCTTTTTTATGGTAGGGGGCCCAAAACTGGACACAGTACTCAAGGTGAGGCCTCACCAGTGCCCAGTACAGGGGGACAATCACCTCTCGGGCCCTACTCCCCACGCTGTTCCTGATACAGGCCAGGATGCTGTTGGCTTTCTTGGCTTTCTTGGCCACCTGGGCCAAGAAATGTAGCAGTTTGATGCAGCCTCTCAGCCTTGGATAATGTAGTTAAGCTTTGTTTCCCAGATGTGTAACGTAGACGGCTACCTAAAAGTACTCAGGCATGGTTAGGGCCTGCAGATGACTACACAGAAATATCTAGCTGCTGAGATCATCTACATACCATGAACCAATGGTATACGGAAGAATGTACACTATATGTAAGCAAAGATCACAAGAATAAAGATATTACAAATTTGAGTGGGAAAAAAAATTAAATTAAATCAGAGAAATGCAAAATTTTTGGAAAAAAAATATTCATTTACTGACGTTTAAGAGCTCATTAGTGTGGAACATCACAGCATCCAGCCCTGGGAACAGGAAGAGTACAATGGGTTTATCTGCAAACTGCAGTAGAAAGATGTCCTTCAAAATACGTCGTCTCATAGCTTAATCTCAATCAGTGACCAATACTGACTACTAAACATGAAGATCTGGATGATCTTATGTAAAAACATTTTAAGCTTTTATAAACATTTCTGCAGGTTTGGTGCTATGAGTGAAAGCTTTAACAGCAGCATTCACAATGGGCATCACGGAAAAAGGAGTAAGAAGAGTGTAAATGAAAGTGAAATAATCCAAACATTAAAACAGGTTTAATCAGCGTGACGCATTATTGCTGTCATTATTACATTTTTGTGCTGTTATTACACTAATATATTTTACACAAACATTAGTTGAGGCTGGTTTAATTAGCGATGTCTACACCACCAAGGGACTTCCGCTTGAAAAATTATAGCTAAGAGAATGATAATGATTATACGTGGCAACTTGAGAGACTTAGCACAATAAATACGTATGATTTATCCAATATCCACAACCCCTGAGTAATGCCACTTACTTTTCTTTATTAATAGCCTAGAAATACAGGATCTCAGGAGAATCCAACTGATCATCTAGCACACACACTGACTTTCTGAAATGGAATCAAGGATCTTCAGAGGGCCTTCTGCCTGCTTGCCCTCTAGTTCCTCCTAGAAACTATTAGCAAAAAGCATCCATGATGTTATTTTTCCACTGTCCTGTTCTTTTTAATCCATTTTCCCAGCGTCTTTAAGCAGCAAATAAAAACAGTAACTTCTTGTCTCACCTACAGTGAGCATGAAAAACACTGATCACAGCCCTCACTGTAACAACCAACACTACAATCCTTTGGGGATTTCACCTTCATTTTTTTCCTACTGTCAGAACTTTCATATTTGTCAAAACTTCACCAGAATCCAGCCGTAAAGAAAATGCCCCATCCACTGTGAAGCCCTCTGCCCTGCAAGTTCTCAAATATTAACAGTTCTTATTACTTAACTACTTCCAAGATAACAAGATACGATAAATATAAAATGTATATACAACTGTGTTAACTCATTTTCCATTATTCTTGCCTGAATTTATTTTCTTTGTTATTAACTATTAAAAATAGGCCTATAATTCACTTTTTCATGAAGATGAATAGCGTAAGATTCCTGAACACTTCTCTTCAGACATTTTTATATGCTCATTTATTGCAATTATATCATACAATATTGCTCATATTTTCTTACCTCTGTTATTTTTATAAAGCCTTATAACTCTTTTGGTAGTTACAGTTCAGATTTTGGTCCAGTCTTTCCAAATTTATCATTACATAGACATCACTTCTATATGGAGCTACAGCTTCTTTATGCTATGAATGGATTTTCCTTTTCTGATGCTTAGATTAAGAGCTGAGGTTTAAGAACTGCTTTTCTACCACACATTTTTCACAGAAACACAGAATCACAGAATGATATGGGTTTAAAAGGGACCTCTGGAGATCATCTAGGCCAATCCCCTGCCAGAGCAGGGCCACCCAGAGCAGGTCCCACAGGAACGTGTCCAGGTGGGGTTTGAATGTCTCCAGAGAAGGAGACTCCACCACCTCTCTGGGCAGCCTCTGCCAGGGCTCTGCCACCCTCACAGCAAAGAAGTTCCTCCTCATGTTTAGGTGGAACTTCCTATGTTCAAGTTTGTGCCCGTTCCCTCTTGTCCTGTCCCTG